CGTGCCTGACCTTTGGGCTTTAGCAAATTGTGACGTCCTACAGCGGAATCCAGCTTTGCCCACTCGTTTCTCACTTACCATGACCACAGCCTAGCCCTCCTTCAGCCATTCTGGGCTAGCTTTGTGAAGGCTCTCGCCCCACAATACTCAGGGTGAGATAGCCTCTGAGATTAGTAGGCATGCAGCACGCAGTATATCCTGGCGAGGAGCTGGCGGGCAAAGGATGACAAAGTATCGGCATCTCTCCACAAAAGCTGGAATGCTCAGGATTGCTGACGTCCTGTCGCACGAATCCTCGTCCTCTCAGCACAGAAACTTAGCCGCGAAGTCTAGTTTGCGCTTCGTTGGTTTACTGCATAGTGTCCATTAGAGCCTTTAGATCATGAGCAGCTTGATTTGAAGTAGGTTGGTCGAGCAAAATGTTCGTTCTCTTCCTGCGTAATTCCGAGTGAAGAGAGCAAGTCCAAATCGTGGTGATGCCTTGCTTCAGCTCCATTATTGCACGGCTACACAAAGCTGGAATCTGCTGGGATCCCTCGCCAACTTCTTGCATGCTAAACTGACAGCCACAGAGATTTCAGCAGCGCCCAAACGGGCTGCAGCAATACGGCCCCGAGCAATGCCAGAGAACTTCGCTCTTAAGCCAGAAAGTACTTTCAAGCAAATTCCACTCAGAAATTCGAAGCAAGAATCTGCTTGCAGGAGTGTAAGAGCCTTGTGTACAACTTCCCTGGCAAACGGCAGGCCTGAGGGACGCTGATGTAATCATACCAGAAGTAGAGGTCTCGCTCGCGCAGCTCTGCTCCTGTGATCCTGAAATAGTTGCCGGATATTTCGGATTGCACTTTTCAGCAGGCAAACATCTGCAAGCAAGCATCTTTGGCTTATCCAGGTAAAGCTCAGCCACAACATTGCCCTCGGCTCATCGGCACATGCTTGCGGCTGGTGCCAACCGTGGAAAGAATGTCAAGCAACTCTTGGCTCATAGGCGGTCCAAGAAGCGTTGATGGCTGTCACCCCGCCAGACTCCAGTTGCTTCAAAAAGTCCTGCAAGGCCTCAACCAATGCAGAGGCTCTGCCCCCATCCCTCCTTACCTAGCCGCATGCAAGATAAACCCAAATAACGTAAAAAACAAAAAAAAAGCTTGTAGGAACGAATGTGGACATGTCAGAAAGGCAACCCCGCATGTGGATTTCTCTTCAGGTCAGCATGGCTAGCTCCGACAGATTTTCCAGACAAGAAGGCCTGTCAAACGTGAGGATCCCCCCAACAGCGCGCCCTATACTTGAGGCGTGCTGAAACCTACACTGTATGAGCGTTCTGTGACAAGAAGCTGCCGTAAGCCTCTGGCCATTTCTTAAAGCTACAAGCTTGCGAGATTTTGAAAATTGCTACTTGTTCTTCGACACGTCCTACTTGATTTGAAGCGTGCAGCTCTGGCAGCTACACTTAGCTCGTTCTTGCGCTATTATAGGGATAACGGAAAATAAAATGGAAACCACTATATGGTATATTGGGGTCATATTCGGATAATGGAAAATGAAATGGAAACTACTACATTGTATATTGCCGCTGATGCGCCTTGAATTGCTCAAAAGCGGGATCAGGATGCTCCACTCCGACCCACTGGTGGGAAATCTGAGTCACAGGAAAGGGCAGGTAAGATCATAGTCCCCCTTAGTTAGATAGAATATGGGGTATATGGGGATCTTATTTTTATATAACCATAGCCAAACCCTATCTACTTAAGGGGGACTATACTTACTTCCATCTCCGGCTATCTGCACAAGGCAAACTTTAGGGCATCCATAACTCATGGGGGAGGATTCGAAATATGCTCACTCCTGCACCCTAATCGACTGCACCACATTCTCCATACTTCAAGATCTGGAAAGCAAACTATGCAAATACACGGCTGCGGTCCAATGGAACCATAGGTGAGTTTAGGCAAGGTCTGTCAAGCTTCTTGCCCTTGTTGTTGAATTCCACCGTCGTGCCACACCCAATGCTTTTGCCAGGAAGCGAACATTGCGTGGCCGAGGCCTAGGAACATGAAAGCAAGTTGTCTGAATCAGGAGCCCCCAGCATGCGAGGATCCTTGTGTGAAGTGAGTTCAGCGCGTTGGCTGAGACAGGAACAACAACAAGCCACTACACATGAGACGGTGAGACTTCACCTCGAGTGACCATGAAGAAGTACTGCACGCAAAACTGATTTCGCGGGATGCTGTGCGGACTCGGTCTGATTCCTGGTTCACGTTTGATATACCTTCTCTCGTACCAGTTTTCTGAGATGCGAAGCCGTCATACGTCTTAGGAGACACCCAGTGTCAGTGACCCCTTTGACTCGGGCAGAAGGCTGTGCTATCTTTACCTGCGCATCATAGGGAACCAGTGTTAGTAGTGCCAGGCCGCTATCAGCAAACTCCACCAGCAAACCTTCGGCTAGAAGCTGCTCATGCGGGCGCAGTGTAGTCATCTCCCGCCTTGGTACTGTCAGGCATGAACAGCTGGAAAAGCTGATCTTCCATAGTTACTTCGTCAACTTTTTTGGAGGGGCTCCTTCGCGGATAGGCACTGTGGCACGCCATGAGGAGGTTCGGACTTGTAAGCGTAGTGATGTAGTGTGCATGTGGAGTCCCAGCATCAAACTCCGACAGTCAACTTGCGCAAACGAAGGCTGTGACAAACTCTGCTGGCCTCTTATAACAGGAGAAGCAAGACGTATTCAGAAACCAATGGCGTGCATTACAGGCCACGGTCGCCTGTCAGCTAGGACAGAACTGAAGCCAGAAAGCAATGTTTCAGCAACAGACCTTACTGACCAGCTCTCCCGACGAAAAGAAAGAAATGCACTTCCCTGTGACTTACCTTGGCTAAACCGGGAATAAGGAAATATATTCCCTACATAGTCGCTGTATGTTAGGAGGACCCCCCACCCTGTAATAGTGGTATAATAAAAAGATAAGATGAACCTAATACATCCCCTATTATCCCTTATAGTCACTATTACTGGGTGGGGGGTCCACCTAAGCTATATAATGTGTCCCCCTATTCCCTACAATCACCCCAGCAGGCGAGATGCACAACTTGTGCAGGCGCCACGTACATGGGAAAAAGCTGGCTGGAGCTCGTGAACCTTCCGTCTCAGCTGGAAAGACATAAAACCCCCCACCCCCCAATGTGAAGCATTTCCAAGATATAGTATACTACAATGGGAGTATATTTGATATTGGGGGGCGGGAGGTTGATATTTGGGAGAGGGGATTTTTCAAAAAGAAGTTTGAACTTTGCAATGAACAGGCATTGTGCTCGCCATTCAAAAGTGCGTTGGGTAGCACCTACTCGTGCTAGATTTATCACGCATCAGTCCATATAGCCTCTATGTACTCCCAGTTTCCATTTCATGTTCCATGTTCTTTTCCATTTGATTCTCCACGATCAGGCTAAAATACCCCTAGTTTGGTGTTGTTGATCAAATTCCAGGGCCGGGACATGCCGTCCTTCAACAAAATGCGACCATGTGCCAGAAGGGTTGAGTATTTCTGTTGCAGACGCCCACGCATCTAGTATGCTTGTTATTGTGTATTTCAAGAACTTCAAGGACACTGGATAGATCTACCAGAAGTACTGCAAACCTCAAATGAGCTATAGTCTAAAATCCTAGTATCCCCCTTAATAACTCCTATAGTAGTTCCCTATATAATCCCCCATACAAGCCCATTTGAGGAGTTTAGACTATAGCTCAAATTATTTTCCCTCCAAGCCAGGCCAGACCTTCGCAATGGCCTTCTGCGCAAGGCTGCCACATGTTGCGCTAAAGCACTGGCAGGCTTCCTAACCATCTGAAGCCAGAGTCCCCCCTTAAGTAGATAGAATCTAGGGTGTATGGGCATCTTATTACTATAATGTACCCAAAACTATATTCTATCTACTTGAGAGGGACTATAAGCAACCGGCATCGAGCCACACACTGCAGATTCTAACATTCCTCAAGCACATCCGCAGCAGCTCGGATAGCATCTCATGCATTGCTGTGACATCTCCATAATGCTGGCCTCGGGTGGCAACCCTTCAGGCCCCAAACAGGTAGTTTCCTGAAATAGGGGGACCCCAATATAGGCCCCAAATACTATAATCCTTATGATAAGACCCCCCAAAAAGGTACCCATCATTTTGGGAAACTCCCAAAGTATCCTTGGGCGCCACATCGCAGAGGTAGCAGAAATCAGGCCGAGTCTTCAGGATCTGGCAGAGGCAAATAAGTTGTATGTATCATCTGGGCATGCTGGAGGAACAAATTTCTGCATGTCGCTTTCTAAGCCCCATAGAAACACTACACCAACGGGTGTAAATTTCATCAAATTCAAGGTCTTCACCCCGCCCTGGATGACTTCAGAAATCACAAGCACGAGTCTCCAAACAAGTACTGCCGCGGCAGCTGCATCATCTAGCTGAACTGATGCCTCCTAAGTTGAAAGTCTTGCACAGGGAGAAAGCAAAGGTTTGGGAACATTTCCAACACTTCCTTCCTGGCAGCATTGGCCCTACCTGGCCCAAGTTGCAGGAGTCCCAACACCCATAGACCCACTATAGGCATTTCCATTTTCTTTTCCATTATCCCCAAATAACCCCCAATATGACCCTAATGTTACCCCAATGGGTATCTATATCAAAATGAAATCCATAAGTTCATCTTTAAGCTGGGTGCACGCTGCGGTTCCATGCAAAGCAGATCATGGCCACAAGGCAGACAGAGGTACATGGCATAGCGAACTGCTCCAGCCTCTAATTACTATTACTAGTATAACTATTACTATGATTTGTATCATTTTATTCTGCCTATTCCCAACATTATAAACAATCAGTAATCCTATTACTGTTACTACTACGGGGTACCGGCTTACTTGCACTGGCAAGCCCAAAGACAATAATGAAAAGGGAAACCTGCGAGGGTTCAAGTCGCACTAAACCGCGGGAGTGTGTCTACGCATGAAGCTCTAAGAGAACGCCTCCAGCATGTCTGCTTCGTGAACCACCTGCAAACTCCAAACAGCATCGAGTAGTGAAAAAGGATGCAAATCCATAGGGTTTTCATGCATGGGGGGGTACCAACAGTTCGGGGGTCCTTGTTTGGAAGACCCGGTACCACATGAACAGAGAGGACACCATGAAACTGTGTCTTGCAAAGCAGATTCAGCAGTGACAACAATAACTTGAACTGGGGCCTACTGCGCTCAGTTATCTTCTGAAGGACAGAGCAATTGCTAGAGACTGCGTTCATGAGATATTCCTCTCTTGCTTACGACAGATCCGACGTCTATGCTTCTACTAATTCAACTAGCAAGGTGGGCTTGTCAAATCCATCTTCGGTCCGCTATCCATTGTACACACGGACACCATTGCCTCCAGGCGCGCGGTGTTAATCAAGGTGCCGCCCTTGGGCATCTTTCCCAAAAGATCCTGGTGCAGATGCTGGACAGGATCCTGCATGACCCTATACACCCTAGGGAATTCTAGGAATTATGATGTCAGAGTCTACTTAAGGTCAGAGGCACCCTGGCATGCTGTGCAGTTCGGTGGACATCCTTCCTCAAGCTGCTTCACAGAAACACGGCGAGCCGTTGTAAACAAGCGTGGCAGGGTCTGTTTAAAGTGGAGGCACGTGGCTTATCAATGCGCCTTCCTTACCCATGGGGATGGAAAAGAACCGGGACACTAATGTAATCGGGGTTGTATAAGGTCATGTAAGAGGAACAGAAACTACCATGTTCTCTAAAAGGTTCAATATATTGAAGACAAGTCGCTGGTCCCACTGAACCCTAAACCCTACACCCTAATATATAACCCTACAATACTCTAGTAGTTTCCATTTTCTTTTCCATTATCCCATTATCCCAATAAACCCTAAGTGTCCCTATTCTGCTGGCCTTGTTGATGGAGGCTTTGGTCTCATCCGTCAGGGGCACGTGGAGGGACACCTGAGAGGTAGCAGGAAATCTACTCAGGCATACAACCCCTATGTAACCACCCCCGATAATCCGGATTATGGTATAGAATCCCTGCATGGTAATTTGCCAAGATAGGGGGGAGCCCCGATGCAGACCCCAAAATACTCTGGTCCTTATCAAAAAGGTATCCCTGATCTCTACATAGTGCCTGCAAAACCCCGGTCGCAACCAAGGCATCGTTTCTCGAAAGTTGTCATGAATCAGTCAATGGGAACCCCAGAATATCGTAGGAATATAATGGGGGTATACCAGAATATAGTAAGAATATGATATGAATATACTTGCCAGGGTCCTTCTTGTCTTCCTCTCATTGCTCTCTTTATACGTGGGGGAATTTCTTGAAGTCAGGGCCCACGGGCTGTATATGCTGCATACACTACGCCGACAGAAAACGATTACTTTTCACTGGGACCCTGAAACAACCTAAACCCAAGCCCTAAACCCCTGAACCCTAATTCCCTAAACCCTAAACCCTAAACCCTAAGTCCCTAAACCCTAAACCCTAAACCCTAGGCTAGCGAGTGGCATACTGGTGCTCGAAGAGGCCAGCAACTGTCGCCACAGGCTCCGCCCCCATCTCCTCTGCTTGGTCGGGACATTGGCATATCAGCTATAGTCTAAACTCCAAATATATCCCCCTTGAATAACCCCTATAATAGAGGGTTTGGGGTTTAATCTCCTAGCATCTTCCTTAATAACCCCTATCACACTCCCCTACATAATCCCCTATGTAACCCCTTCAATTCAAGGAGTTTAGACTATAGCTCATAGCAGCTACGTCCAACACTTCTTCGCACCTGCTATTTGGAGAACCTTCATTCCCCCAATAAAAATTCTGAAGCTGCATATTGATTTTGGCATAGATTCCGGCTGTCCTCATTCTGTCCTGCCCTTTGAGTTTGTGCTGCTCTGTGTGCAGCCATACAATTTCGTGAACCACAGGAAAGCTCTCAGGCCTTGATCTTGTCGGCCGGGATGTACGGGTCGTATGCGAAGCTCTTCATGCCAAAGCCTGACGACGAAGCAGGTGAGCTTAAAGCGCCAAGGTCAAAGTGACCTTCCCCTGACCAAAACATCGCAACACTTTTGGACGACCAGTCTTCCACAAATGCTAACTAGAAAGGCTTGAAGGCCGCAGCAAATCCCACAGAGATGTCGCTGACAAGCGGGACGCTCGGATTACCAGTAAATTTACAAGGTCAGCGTGTCATGGCAGCGGCGCATAGTAAGGTCTCACCAACCACAACAGGCGCATGCAGCACTTGCTTGGGAATGTAGCCAACATGGCCCTGAGGCGCACCTTGCGCAAGCTTGTGTACGGCACGGGCCACGGCTCCGAAGCCGTAAAAGGCGATCTCGCGATTAACCTGTGAGTTGAGAGACCATGTCTGTAATGCAGGGTCAACAAACTCAATTAATCTCGACTCACGCAATGTGCGTTGCACGTGCTCTGCCCAACTTTTACGCGGCATCGAGACAAGTTATAAAAATTGACCACACAAATCTCGTTTGGGATTGGGTGCTGTGAGAACTTAAGACTTATCCTGGTGGGATCCGTCACTCTCCTCTCAAGCTCTCAAGCTCAGGAGCTAGGGACACACCTACACGCCAACATCATGCACCGGTGCACACAGCTGCTCCAAGTCAAGCACCAGCTCGAAACCGCTGGTGCCGTCAAAGTTGTTGCGGGCGCTGACAATCATCATGCCTGCGTCAGAATGGCTCCTTGAGGCTTCCGGTGAATTCGATGGCCCGTTGAAAGGTCGAGGGCCCTACAGTCAGCAATGCTACAAAAAAACTAAATGCTTCTCTTCAAGAGAACGCGCTTCGGCAGGGTTTGTTACAGACTGAAGCATTGCCAGGGCACCAAAGACAAGCTCAGCCACTGCGTTGGCGTTCTGGCCAGGGGTGTTCATTGCCTCGAGAAGCGAACTTCACAGAAAGCTGCTCTGGTCATGATGCTTGAAAACACGTAGCATACTAGCACAGAGGCAACAACTGGTACGGATAGTGCTACAGACCGTCCTTGAGGTTTCTGCAGGAAGAACAGTCCAAAGACGGCAAAAAGCAGACCGGAAGCCCCCTAATTAGCTGAAGCAAGGTTTCAGTTCAGATCCGCGGGAGACTTTCTCGGGCTGCTTTGCTGTAGGTGTGAGAAAAACCTCAACACTTTCTGCAAATTCAGGGCGCATGGTATACCCTTGGTCCTCAATATCGGCGCTCATACTGGGCCCACTAAAATCAAGGGCCGCATGTTGGCAGCTGCAGCATGGCGCACCTCTTAGACAGGCTGTCCATTACCAGACTCTCGATCTTTCCTCCGAGCGTTCACCTGCAACTAAGGCCAGGTCTGTGATGCCCTTGCCCTCGCAAGCCTGGCGGCAACTCTCAAACTGAAGCTTCTTATCCACTGCAAGGGCATGGATTTGAGAAGGCGCAGGAGTGCAAAGTAGTGCATACCGCTGCCTTGAGATCAATGTTGTCATAGCCAGCGCCTGCAGGGCCACCAAATCTCAGACTCGCGGACCAAGCTATGTTTTGTGGATATAAGCTGTGAGAGGCAATTCTGGCCTGAGATAGGCCGTGAGGGCCACAATATGCGCTCACACTTCTTCAGGATTTCTCAAAGCGAGGGGCAGCAACAACAGCCGCTTTCATTCAAAAAACATGTGGCTATGAGAGCCCCTCCGCACAAACCTGTCCTGCTCGGACCACGATCTTCATCTTGCTGGCCTTGTCCAGCACGGCCTTCGCAGCTTGTCTACCATCAGTTGATTCGGTCTGGCGGGATGTCACACACTCGAGAAAAAGCATAAACCAAACAAGACAGGACAGGTTGGAAGGCCAGAGCTCAGCATGGAGCGCCAAATCCGTGAGGGAAAAGGAGAATTGCCGAGGACTCTTTACATCCGGCAGGTTTTTGAGTCCTTCCTGGAGCCTACACACTGGCTGCCTGCTGCTGCTGCACGCCCATGACAAGCGGCCGGGTTCCAGCGACCCCATTTATCTGGCGAGTCCTCACAAAGGATTGAATAGGGCCTGATCCACGATGTCGCTGCGGATGATCATCGCATCTGCGTCGGCAACGGCCGCGAGAAGGTCATCCTGACGAAGGCTGGCTACTGTTCGTTTACAAACCACTGCTCTTGCATTAGCAATGACTAAACGGAACATCTAGGCAGTATGTTGTATAGCCGAAATAGATGATCGTAATCAACACGGACTCAAAGCTCATGTCAATGCCTGAAAACGAACCGTGCTGCAAGCTATGCTGATGTTTGCAAGGCCTCAACCCGCTACTATAGGTGCTCCAAGCACATCTCCATCAGTCATCATCATCCAAACCCCTAACCCCTACAAGGCGATGGTCAGTCCCAAACAGCAGCAGCTATGCATCTGGCCATGAAGTTCATAGACACAAGCCCGGAGTGCTAAAAGCCATGTATGCAAGCAAGAAACCCAATCTGAAACACAACAGCTTCCAAACACGTCTGCCAATGTCCGCATCACATTGCTCATTCAGTTCTCTGTCACAGGCTCCACTATGTGGCGACTTTCACAACTGTCAACTCATGCTGCCGGGAATGCAGTGAAAAGACTAAGACTAACATAGGCGGTAGTTTCCAGAAACAGGGGGACCCCATCATAAACCCCCAATATACTATCATCCGGATTATGGGGACCCCAAAAACTGGTACCATAGACTGCCAACAAGCCACAATCCTGACTATGAAGACCACCAACATATGGCACCCCTCACTTTTGGAACCCAACCCCCATACTGTAAATAAGCAAAGTCCAGAAGCACCTCATGCCCCGAAGGCCGCTCTGAGTCGGACCCTATTCTTACTATTCTTAGTATTCTTACTATCCTTACTATTATTGCTAGTACTACTAGCGTTACTATTGTTACAACTATTTCTCTTGTTACTCTTGTTACTATTACTAACTACTCGCGTTACTCTTGTAACAGATGTTGCTATTAACACCATTCGTACTACTGTTGCTAATGCTGTTCTCTGGCGTCCTTGCTCTTGTAGTTCTCCAACTTTTTCAATGTGTAAACCCTAAACCCTAGACGCTAAACCCTAAACCGCGTCTGGCAGTCCTTGCTCTTGTAGTTCTCCAGCTTCTTCAATGTGTAGTTGGCAGCCTGGCATAGGATGCAGCCTCCGCTCCCGTCATTTCCTGAAAATCTACCGACCCCAGATGACTGGGCTGCTGTTAAGGAACTTAAATTAAGTTACCATAATGGGTATATATAGTAAATAAAACGGTTTCCCCAATACAGTAACTTAATTTAAGTTCCTTAACAGCAACCCAGATGAGCCATAGTCTAAACTCCTACTATCCCCCTTAACCCACCCGTATGGAGTCTACTATAGAATCCTTTATGTAACCCCCCTTTAGGAGTTTAGCTTATGGCTCAGATGAGGAACCTTAAAAAGAGTCACACATCTTGAGATGTTAAAACCCCATTATCTTCACAAACTTCGTTCAACCCCTACAAGCCCTGATCCCCATGTATTCCCGTTTATGTGCCCTGGTCGCAGAATCCTCCATCACCCCTACCTTTGCACTTGAAATCTGTCTAAACCATCATCATCACATTGAAACCTGGGCCCTGGGCAGATCTACCTGCAACACTTCTGGCAAAATAGCAAAGCTGCTACGAAACTCTTCTTCCAGTCTGCAACCTATGCCCTTTATAGATTCCCTGCCCATGAGCAAGAACACTTCCCGTATGCGGCCTTGACCCTAAAACCACATAAGACCACCAAGAGCTCTCGCAGAGCACTCCACCGCACTCGAAAAGCTCCACAAATACTAAAACAATGCTCAAGAGCATTCCAAGAGCACTGCACTCAAATCAATCACAGCAGTCCTAGGGCAGTTCAAAAGCAAACCAGGACAATTCCAAGAGCACCGCAAGAGCATTTTTAAGAACACTGTCAGAGCACACTTCCTAAAACTGCGAGGATGCATAACCGGAGGGTACAAAGTAACAACGCTTGTAAAATCCAATTTCCGAAAGCGACGACAGTGCGCAGGAGCACATGTGCAGGAGCAAGAGCCCGTGTCTGCTGCCGGAGCACAATGTCCAGCCCAAAACTCGTGAGGAATCTCCACATGCGAGCTACTCACAAAACCCAGAGGTTGCACGCCAGCGCGGCAAGAGCATGAGTTCAAGCCAAATTGCAAGAGCGTGGTGTGTGGCGTTGTGGGGCGCGCCGCCTAATTCCATGTTACTCCCGACGTAACATCCCACTGGCGTTAGCACGTGTTTACAGAAAAATTGCCCTAGCAGGTCACGATGAGCACTGATCAATCCTAGCTTTCAATGTTGAGCCTTCAGGACATCTTCGATCTTGGTCACTGCCGCTGCCGCGAATGCCTGCCAGGAACACAAGTTCATAGTCAAGCTGTTGAAACAGAATTCACGTGTGATGACTGGTGGTACTGTGGTTGTTCTTGGCGCATCAAGTTCTTGCAAATGTGTGATTACTGGCCATACTCCTGATGCTACCAACATCCTTGCGGCAATATCATAGCCACAGTTGCTGCTAATTAGTTGCATGCTGCCACAATTATTGTTGTTGTTGTTGTTCGACATGCCAGTAGCTTTTCTCTCAGTTCCAGACAGACGTAAAAGCATGACCATCACCAATAGCACGACTAATGCCACCTGGGCTGCTAATAGTACGCTCATCTTTTCGCACAGATGGTGGCGGTTGTTGAATTCTTGAGAGCTCCTAGCATCATTCGGTAAACAGCAAACAATTAGCAGTAGAGTCATACTTGCTAGTGGCATTCTGATGATCGACATCGAGAGCATAAATCGCCGTAGCCCCAGCAACCTTACTCTTTGTGGCATTCGCAAAAGTCTCTAAAGCCTGTCACGAACAGGAAAAATACAATGATTAGAACTGCTGACACTATGCTTACACTAGCAATGATAATCGTAATAGCAGTAAGTATATTCGCACCATAGAAACTGGAATAGCATCATCAATACTGTGCTAAATGAGCCTCACTCCAAGTAAGCTATGGTCTATCCGCTGTAACAAACCCTATAGCAGTCCCCCATATCATCCCCTGCATAACCCCCTTTGTGGAGTTTAGACCCCGAACCCAGTATAATCCCCTTTAGGCAATTTAGACTATAGCTCAAGTGCTGTTGTCAGGCCTTCTCCGTGGCCAGCAGGACTGTCCTAGCTTTACCCGCCTGACAGATCAAGATTGTTCTGCAGACCATCGGCCCTCCAGCTTCTTACTGGTTGTTAGTAGGGAATACGTGAATATGTTATACAGTGATTTTTATAGGTATTGTATTCCGATACTGTTGATGGATGAAATCTTGCACCATCTAGAGGCCCTATTTTTTGTAATTTTTAGGACTTTAGGGTGGTGCAAGATTTCTTCCATCAACAGTATTATCCATTTTCCCTACAAACAATCAGTAATGCTTGTCTATGTTGGGAGTCCCTGGCAGACTACAAACAACCTGGTCCATTTGTCTTGCTTCATTTCTTGGGGTTGAGACAATCCCACAAGGTAGTTTTGCAAAATTAGGGTACCCCAAAATACCCTAATATATACTATTAGTCCTTATTATACGGACCCCCAAAATGGTACCCAAAATGATGTGAAACCCCAACAAAGCGTTGCACACACATTCTTGCATGTTTTCAGCATCTGGATCCTCCCTGTATTCAACTTGGCAAGCAATCCAAAATCCAGCAGATACACAAGCGTACTTGTGGTTAGTAAGTAGGGAATAAGGGAATGATACTTATTGCCCGAAAGCCTAATCCTAGTTTATTTCGGAAACAAAACTGCTTACGGTAGCTTACGTTTTCCAAGCTTTTGCTTGCGACATGACTTTGTTGTTGTTTCTGCTTACTCTGCTTACTTTTGTGGAGAACACAGCAAAGCTGTCAAAAACTACAAAAGCCAAGCTATCGGGATGCTTTACAGCCGCGAGCGCAACGTGCCCATGAATCTGCTTACGCCGGCTTGCTGCAACTGCAAGGACTGGTTCGCTTGGGACATAAGCAATAACACCAAACAAAAATAGCTTACGACGCTTGCGGCAGCAACGTCGCCACAAAATTGCTTACGACACCTTGCGAAACACAGCACTTTGCTTACGCCAAACCTTGTTTCTGAAAGCCCCTGTCCCTTCCAAATAAGGAGGATTTCGATCTCCGCTCATTTGGATTACATATTTCCTACTAAGAACCAGTATGCAAGCTGGCACCTCTCCAGCCATATCTGCAGGAGCGAGGAATTACGTCTAAAATGTCTGCTTCTGAGCCAAAATCTGGGCCCACGAGTTGAAGCACATGCAAGGCGGCTGCTTCCTAAAAATAAGGGGTACCTTTTTGGGGGGAAGGAGGACTATAGCACTTTGAGGTCTATATTGGGGTCTCCATATCTAGAGAAACTACCACATGCCGGCGCAGGGAGGGCCACGCTGCTGAGCAAAGGTTTTTCGTATCCAGAAGAAGCCCAAGTTGTTTACATGCAGGCAGCTGAACACCAAACAAGTTTCTGCTGGGCAAGAAGTACTAGTTACTAGCCCAGAGATGCTGGTGCAGCGCTTGCTCCTTGACACAGAGATCCAGACTCAACCATGACACAAACTCCCTGGCACTGCCTGCCGCATATAGCAATGCGATTCCGGGGGATATCTGAGCCTGCACAGCTTCAACACAGGGGTAGCAGCAAGCTAGGATGAGACGGAATCAGACTAAGACGAACCAGAAGCAATGACCATTTGGACAGTCATTGGCACCATGACGAAGAGCAGCCAACCGTATGTCCCAACATTTGTGTCAGTCGCGCCACTGGTGTGACACAGCATCCATGTCTGTGCCAAGCAGTGGCTGCTCCTTTTGGGGGGCCCTGGACGGACACACCTCAAAGGTAGTACCCTTATGGGTAATGTAGCACACGACAGTCCAGCATACAGAAGAAATAATACTCTTTATGTAATAAGCAATAATTGGGCTAAAAAGCTCATGGCTTCAACCAGCATCACCCACTCAGTTTTGTGATTTTCCGCAAAATTGTGATGCTACTTCTGACACGTCTTGCAAGTATAGCCACATGCGTTGACACTGAGTTGACGTTGCAGGCCGAACGAGTTGTAAGGAGCTTCCGCGCCAGCTTAACAAAGATTTGTAGAGAGCTGCTGCTTTGCCTGAAGCTCCATGCATCTCATTCGGCCTGCAAAGACAACTAAGTGTCAACATGTAAGCAAGCCCTTGGAGCTGCCTAATACACAAGTTGCCAAAACGACCCTCATTTAAATCATTTCATACCTACACACTGACAAAATGTCCCAAACTCTGTCTGCAACGCTTGACAGATGTCGAGGTCATGGCATCTCTTGGTTGTGCTCATTCACAAGGCCAGATTCCCTGGGCAGCAAATGGATCAGTCGCACCAGCATCCCCAACAAACGAGGAGGCATCGACCTGAAGCATCCGCGTCCCTTTTTGTTCCTTGATTCGAACGCTAGGTGGCTCTGCGATCCTTACAAGCCTCAGTTGGAGACCGAAGCTTCGCAGCTGAAAGGCTGCAAGTGACTTCATCTCGCTAGGGTCTCTTCAAACTCGCACTGAGGCGGGTTCTCCAAAAGTCTAAGTGCGCACTCAAAAGAGACATAGCCAGCGCACAATACCGGTTCAGCCATTTGGGGCTGCTGAACCCTCCAGCAGCAGCCAAGAGATGCTGCGGCTAAGATCGCCATATGATTGAAAATGCAGTCAGTGACTTACGGATGTCAAGCCCACCAACAATGACGAGAATTATCGTTGAAGAAAAAATTCGGCAACTTCAACAAATAGGGCAACACTGCAAATACGAGTCCCCAAAAAACCTTCAAGATCACCGATTGGGGCCGGTCCATCCGGTCCACTCTTGGTGGCCTAATGTCCGGGAGCTCCCGACTCAATCAGGACACATCCCTCATGCCAGGTAATGCCCAGCTCTGCACATCTGTCCTCACAGGGGTTGTAGGCAGTTGCCGCAGTTTGGGGATTTGGGGCATATTTGCTCAGTAAGCCCCAATTTCCCCACACGTCGCTGGTAGGCTGGCAGCAAGGACTTGCCAATGGCCTTCTCTCGTAAAGTCAGTCGGTCACGACTACTTACGTACGGCTGTTATGAAGTGCCTCAGTAGTTTCCATTTGCGTTTCCAGTCTCCCTATATAACCCCAGTATACTAGAGTAGTTTCCATATTCTTTTTCATTATCCCAATGTCCTTCAGTTCGGATGCCTCGGCCCCAGGCTGAACAAAGACGTTTTTCACCTCCAAGTCCCGATGCGTTCAGACAGATTAGCCAGACAGCTGTTGTGCTTTCAATATGGTAGTTTCCCAAAATAATAGGACCCCAATATAGAGCCCAAAATACTATAATCCTGATTATTGGGACCCCTAAACCCTAAACCCTAAACCCTAAACCCTAATTTTGGGAAACCCCCATATCTTTCTTGCAGCATTCTTCGGAAACTCAGCTGCAAAGTTGCCACTAACAACCATGGAATTGCAGAGCTGCAGGCGACTAGCTCAGATCCATTCAAGGTTTAGGGTTTAGGGTTTAGGGTTTAGTTGCTACAAGACATGGAAGACTATCCCCTACCGCCTCTGTCTCCAAACCGGCAGCTTCAGGATTCAATCCCAATTGAGTAGTGTTTTTTTGGTGGTTGAACCTAGTAAGATTATATTCCTTACATAAAATACTATACCCAAAAGGAGGATATAATCTTACTCCATAATGGGCACCATAGTATCCCCAAATAAAATACTACTTAATTTTTGCTGCAAGGTGGCTCCCAGCTTGTGCATATCGTCAATGACCGTGGCCTCAATGCCAAAGCATGCCAATGCACAATCTTACCCGACACTCATCTTGTGGCGAAAATTGCCTCAACACTCATTCTATATAGGCAGTGCCCTACACTGCAAAATTTTGAAGATCATACCGGTTCCGACACTCCTTTGCAGCCAAGGAGCTCCAATCTTTGGGTTTGCACACCTGAAATTCAACATCTCAGGATGTGATAGTCTCTTGCAAAACTCTGAAATCTGCATTCAACTATACGCGCGCTAAACTCGGGATCGGAGCCCTCTGTGCAAGATGTACCCAAAGTCACCTGCGCACCATCAGCCATAGCAACCGAGCGGCAGATTCACTGCATCCAGTGGCTCCTTCACATCCGCCAAAGACTTCCTTCGTTGCAGATTGAAGCCATGGTTTCCTTTTCATGCCTATTGAAGGCCTAGTGTCGTGTTGATTGCTGTAGATGCTTCCTGTGAAACCCTGCTGTCGCCTGCTGCTGCCGTCTCTTGTCACCAGCGTCTACTGCTACTTTTGCATATTTCTGCTTCTAGTTGTGATGCTGCTTCTGCTCATCCTGCTCCTGCTGTTCCCCCTGCTCCCCCTCTTCTTCCTCTTCCTCATCATTGCCCAAGCTAGTGTTGGTGCACATGCGAATGCAGAACTGACATGAAACATGATGAAAAACACTTCCATCGTAGGGCATTGGCGGCGCACGATCAGCAGACGCAACTGCACAATGATTCACAATAGCAACCCTTGCAACTAACCAACGCTGCCACTGCTACTGCTCCTCGTTCCGAATCTGCTGTTGCTGGTACCAATACAACTACAACAATGATGCCGACGCCGACGTCATCCACAACGACGGCAACAGCGGCGGTGACGGCGACGGTGGACCCGCCCCGCCGCCACCACCATCAGCGCAAACACGACGGACACAAGTACATACCATCACTACCACTCGAACTGTGACGTGTGCAAAGACTGCAGCAAGCGCTCATCCTGCTACTCGCGCTTGCACATGGACTCTTCCAGCACAACAGGAGCTTCCCCATACAGCCTTACTCGTTTCGTGCAGGCTCGGGATGCCAGGCTCTGCACCAGTTGAGGGGTCAACGTGGCTGACGTCCTTTCCCAAGGCCTGCTTGATGGATGCCCAACGGTCTGCCAGAGACTATGAGGAGCACAGACTCTGTTTTCCTACACAGTGCCGTCATGAAGGGAACCTGCTTGAGGTAAGCAATCTTCAACACAGCTCCCGCCTATAAAGTGCCTGGCAAGAGCCCCGACTGCATCGGTATCACAAAGTGCCCCTTCTGGCCAAGGGCCACAGAAGCTCAAAGCTCATTACGGTGATGTTACGGTCAAACGAAAAACGTATTTCAGTGAAAAAGCCTGATTTCCATGCATCCCAGGGGTCCCAAGCCCCAAACCCAAACGGAAGCAAACGCCTTGAGCCGCGCCAGCAGCTGCACCACAAACTGGCATAGGGCATTCGCGCAACTCTTTTGATGAGTCAGAGACCTTTACATCCGGAAGAAGAAAAATCGTAAAGTACAATATAGCTACGGTACGAACTCACGCTGGCTGACATTTCCGTGCGGAAGGATGTAGATGTCATCCTCCCATCACATATCCACGCGGGTCTCACCTCGTATCCTGTCCTGCATTGTAGACATTGGACAGCTGTCTCAGCCAAGAGCAATCAACCGAAGCCCCATCATGAGTCCTGAACCGCTCCTGAACCCTACACCGTGAAGTCTCACCCTTTTCAAGACCCTCTTTCAAGGCCTGGTTGCTGCCGCGACCGACCACGGCCCAGCGTGGCAGCCTCAGGATTGGAAGTTTGAGGTCGAAATCTAAGAATTTAGGTTTTGGGGGTGGGCTGTAGGATTTCGGGCCGCTTTGGGGGTCTATACATGGACAATGGAGGGATGGTGAATGATATTCATGTTTTTTTGAAGGGACTAAGGCGGATATGAAAGGATTCAAGGCGACCACTTCAAGGAGCTAAAGGATATAGTCCCCCTTAAGCAGGTAGAATATGGCTTTGGGTATATTTTCATAAGATCCCCATATACCCCACATTCTATCTACTTGAGGGGGACGAAATCTCAACATTGGGTTTTACCAACCCCCAACTTGAGGTCCCCAAGTGAAAAAAGAGAGCCCCAGATGAGCCAAGGGTCTCAAGCATTGCCTTCCCGCCAGCGCAGGCAGCAGCAGGAGCTGCCATGGCGTGCAAAATAAAGTACTCCTCAAAAAACCCTTGTCTGAGTCAGAATGCCCGCGATATTATCTGCACAGCCTCCCGGCCTGAGTGAGTGGCTGAGCGGATTGCTCCGAATGTCTCTGGAGGCTCCAGTGCATGCCGACTATACTCCGCATGTCTGAAGTGAGAAAGCTGCAGATATCGCTTCGTTCAAAATGCCCATCCATCAGATTGATGCCCCCGCCGGTATCAGACATCTCCTACATTAAGTTCCCTGACAACTTACAACACATTGATGTGACACTGCGAGCGATGTCGCCAGCTCTTCAGACTCCCAGGACTGAGCTGCTCGATGCCGGGAGCCACTGCAAGACTGGCTTTGGAGTTTTCCATATGCTTCTGCCTTTACCGAGCGCTCAGATCCTCCCTGAGCGCACGAAAGGTTGCGACAGAAGCATCTGCTTCAAGAGTGTGTTTTCTTCGGCAGGACTGAACCGGGTAAGTGCCGAGCATGACCGTGTGTATCTTGAGGTAGCTTGGCGCCATCTGAGCCTCGGTGCACAGAAAAGCAGCGTTCTTGCATATCATGCTTCCATGCTTCCCAGCAGCTCGAGTTCTGGAGCTGCTGTCATACCCGACAGTCACACTAAGCTCCACTTCAAGCTGCGCATGCATTCCAATCACCACTTGGGCTCTGGGCATGCTTGAGGCCAATCTTTTGGTCGAGACTCTTCCGCAAAAGGACGACCTGCTGCAACTGCACTTAAAACATCGCTGGAAATGATGATTAAAAAAAAACGAATGGCCGTGGCGAGACCCGTTTAGCAATCCAACTAGCATGCAGCCATGAGGCCAAGAGACATTTCTCCGCAAACTGGCTTAGATCGTATGAGCTGCAGCTGAAGCTAGCTTGCACATCCTGTGTTTAGTGCACCTCAAGGAGGAGATTAATTTTGCACGAGCAATCTCAGTAAGCATCCACCTTCACCGAGCAGCATGAGCCTGGAAGGTCCACGTATCGCCTTTCTGCTCTCCTGGCGGTGCTCTCGGCTCCTCCAGAGGGACCTGACGACCCAAGCAACCAAGTGGCAGTTTTATAGTCCCCCTTAAGTAGATAGAATATGGCTTTGGGTATAATAGAATAAGATCCCCATATACCCCATATTCTATCTACTTAAGGGGGACTATAACCCCTACAAAATGCAACTGGCCATTGTCCTGTGCATCACCGAAGGCAACAAGGCTGCAAGACGCACCATCCATTTCCCAACCCCCAACCCCATCAAGTCCAGAGGAAATGGTTTGAGCCATCATTTAATAGAAAAGAAAATGGAAACGACTATGGTATATTGGGGTTATATGGGGATGATATTATATAGGGCTAATGGAAAAGAAAATGGAAACGACTATGCAAGGCATCTGGTTGCTTCACCTGGCCTGCTTGGGCTCCCGAGGTCGAATGGCCTCAGCACTTTCTTTGAGCAAAAGCATCTACTGTAGCACCCGCCATCCTATCCACTGGCATAAAAAGATGTCAGCCTGTTGCCAGAACTTCACTTCTTCTGCACGCTGGCTCGGCCCTTCCTCATTTTCTCTCCTCTGTGTCTGAGGCCAGGCACATGCAAGTGATTTTGGCAATCAGCTCTGCCACGCTCGGACAAGGCGGTCGGGGCTGTGGACGCCATTTCAAAAGGTGAGCTGCATGTGCAGGAACAACTCTGCTGTGAGGGGGTCGTCTGGATTGTCTTCCGAGGAATGAAGTTTCGGGAATGCATCTGCTCATCCGTGCAGTACGATTTGTTGGCTGAACCAAGTGCGGTGTTGTTACTACTCGTGAAATCATACTAATGCAACAAAAAGAAGAGCATTGTAATACTCTATGTTAGCGCCATAGAACGCCGGCATGCCTCTTAAGGCTCTTACTCCTCCGACTTCAGTTTCAGCCTGATTGCCTTTCTTGAAGTGCATCTTGAAAGCGTTGTGAGAACCATTATGCTGCGGCACCTTAGCGGCATTCTGCGTAATTGCTGAATGCAACGAGGCGGCTCCATGCTACAAGCAAAACATGCTGTGGTCCCCAGAGCCATGCTGACCTCACGCCATTTTTCGAGTGCCTCTTGCATGCTGCGCCGCAAGGCACTCACCAGTTCCGCCATCCACCTTTGTATCCACCGCCTTTGTAGCCGTCGCCCTGACCAGAAAACTCACACGACTGCGGGCAGATTCTCAATTGCCTTGCTACAGCAACTGCAGACGGAGCCTCCCAGGGCTGGTATGTTGGCCGCGGCTGCCCGAAGGGTGATATGGGCCGCGTCTGGCGCAGTGACTATGGCTGAGACCCTAGAGTGAGCCAGCGCAGACACCAAAGTGAGTCCATGTTTGATTTGAGTGCGATGGAACCAAGCCCTTTGACATTTTGTCAGCGGGTACCAGGAATCATGTCGCTCTTCATGAATGGCGGTGTGACTATGGACGTCCTCAACAATGCTGCATAAGCCTACCACCCAAACTCCAGCCGCGGACCCTGGTAAAGCACAAGACATTACCCAGTAAACGTCTAATCAAAATTACTCCAGCAGACTGGCCCCCTGCCTGATACGAAGTCGGCTGCTGCTGCGGCCACTGCGGTCTGATCTGCGTTGTCGCCTCACATGCTTTGCCACAAGATCTTTGCTTCATGCGGGCTTGCTATGGCGTCCTATGCTAGCGGGGCACTATGCCGAAGACATGACGACTGTCCACCCTATCTATGCCCTAGGATGCCCTGGAGCAACCATCTTGGTGTCCGCGCAAAGGGCCGCGGTTGTGGAGTTGCTGTGGCCTTGCCAAATCAAAATCAGTCCCAGTCCCACCATGTCCTAGCCCGTAGCCTGCCCAACTACCCTCTCCATCGCCGCGGACATCACAGCTGGAGCATGTTCCGACACCGTCTGTGCCTGCCCAGAGGCCACGATCTTCAGCTTGGCGGAGTCATCGCCCATGTCTATCCGACGATTCCGGTCCCTCCGGCTCTCCTGCCCAAAGCGTTGACTGGCCGGTCTGAGTCTCCCGCTGGCTGTCTTGGTGAGCTAGCATGGACTTACACCTACTTGGCATCGTCTATGGGACCTGTGCGACCCTGCCCAAACTTCCAGAAGTGCGGCATTTCATAAGCCAGGAGCGCTCGCAGCAGACTCTGCGTAGTCAGGCTCTTCTCTTCTGCAAGCAAGGGTCTGAGTATCATTCGCATCGTTGCGTATCGTTGCGATCGTTGATGCTGTCATCCCCACCAGCCCTCCATTACTGCGAATCGTCTCATTGAAATAATTCGCCCCAAGCAATTTAGGCTTGACATGGTGTGACAGTAGTTGCTGTTGGCGGGAAATGACGGTGGATTAGTCTTGCTTCTATACGGACCAACTGCAGGAGGGGAGTTTGAAATGCTGGGACCTTATATACAGGGTATATATGCACTGGGCAGTCACATATTGGTATATAAGGGTTTTAAGAGGTCCCTACATGCTAACTCCCCTCCTGTAATTGCCTTAGATACTATTGCTGGTTCTGTGTGGCTCCTCTGTCAGCATAACGAAGAGGTTCGTTGACTCTAAGTCATCGGGCAGCTGCGGTTCGAGCACCTTCAGGGCTCTGAGGATTTTGGAATTATACTTTGGGCTGTGGTCCTCGGCGTGCTCGGTCTAGGGCGGGTTTGGAGTCGAGCTTTGTAAATTCTAGCTCAGTGTGTATAGATTGCGGCGTGCGTTTATGCAGCTACTTATATCTTGAATCTAGTAGTTCATGCGGTGAGGATGGTGCGGAGAAAGACATGGTGAAAATCATTAGTCATTAGTTCAGTAGCAGAAACGAGAATTGCAATTCCAACTGCTGCACAGCCTTGCAGGGATAAAACCACCTGAGAAGTCGGAGTTTGGGCAGAAAAGAAATCTACTTCAGTGATCGGGTACATATTGGGGTTATATAGAGGATTATATAGGGATTTATAGGGTATATATTGGGGTTATATAGGGGATTATATTACCTGATCCTCATACATGAAGCCCTATTCAGGTAATATACCGATGCCAATTTGAAAGCCTTTCATTCTTGTAAATCTGGCAAAGGCGCCAATCACATCTGGCCCCAATACTACGCCTTGAAGGCGCTGAGGCTTTTTTACTCCGGACTGGGCCGTAGAAGGCCGTCAGGGATTAAGTAACACACAAAAGCCTCATCCGAAGCCTAGATCCTAGGCAGTCACACTAAACCCTAGATCCCATATAGAACCCCATATATCCCTATGTACCGCTATATGACTAAACCCGAGACCCCATATGGAACCCCGTTTATCCCGATATACCCCTATATAACTAAACCCTAGACCCCATATAGAACCCCATATATCCCTATATACCGCTATATAACTAAACCCGAGACCCCAGATAGAACCCCATTTATCCCTATATACACCTATATAACTAAACCCTAGACCCCATATAGAACCGCATATATCCCTATATACCCCAAAATAACTAAACCCTAGACCCCATATAGAACCCCATATATCCCCGAATGCCCCTGTATAACCCCGCGCATCGGCCTTGCTCTTTCCCGTGATGAGCACTGTGTCGCTGACCATGCTCACAAGCTCCTCCGGCTCTCTCTGCATGTGCGATTGAGATTTAGGGTTTACGGGCATGTAGCGCCCCTGCATGGCAAATGTACATGTGTACAGACATGTAGCACAACTGTGCATATATATATATGTGTTCCACATACATATATATGTATATATTCATATTGTATAAAACACACGGTACGTTCAGGGACTCTTGACTCTTGGGGTTTGAGGGACTTCCTCACGGGCTACATCGCACATTCAATACTCTGCCACTGGTTCTCGTACCACTCAATTACAAGCCCTCCTCATTAGTCGACGAGCTTGCCCGCAACTCCTACTTGCACCCACATAGAAGTGCTAGCTCCGTGCGGGTATACAAGGGGCCCAGTCTCCCAAAATACCAGAAGCAATCCTGAAGACCCCTAAAACACAGCCAGAATTTTGTGGAAACTCTCTACTCTGAATCTCCTTGTATACTTTCTGCACATCCCTCTATGGCATGGATATATAACCCCTTTCCAACCTGTATATAAAACCTCATATGATCCCTTTATATAAACCCCATACAATCCCTATTTACACCCTGAGAACCGTGAGGTAGGACCTGACCGGAGGACTAAGGTCACTCCTCGCAGCTGTCCACTCCGAAGAACTTGATGTTGAGAGCCTGCAACAAGGGACAACGCGGCTCCTCCCGTTTCAAGGCTCCTCAGTTGGTCCAGATGACACCCGGTCCTCTACTAAGCTTTCACAAGAATAGGGCCAGGGCATCGCTCCCTGATGGCTGTGTATGGACGCTTTGTTCTGTGCAAATGCGTGTGCATGCACATGTGTCGCTCTAAGGCCACGGTCAGCCTGCAAGAACTGGCGTCCGGCCTTTTTGTAGTACTTCTGGTAATAGAAGGCAAGGTGCTCAACAGGCACAGAGATCTCAGAGAATCATTCTCTGAGGGTACTTTTGGTTGGAAACAAAGTTGACATAATTCATGTCTTCTGGGGCAGCCACGCGACCAGGGTCATGCGAGTCGCGGCGGAAAGCGTGAGCCATCCTAACATGAACTTTCGAGGTCTTTCAGTAGCACGTCTCTGTTGCCACGGCGTTTGGTACTTCTGTGGCTCTACCAGATTCAGAACCCACTTGCAGGATCAGCAAGATAGCATCCCAAACTGCAGCGGCAAGAACATGCCTCTTTTCGGGGATCTGATCACTCCTAGCGCCCAACAAAAAACGATGCTCACAGCGAGAACTCTGAGCCAAGGGCAGGTGAAGCTCGTAACGCAAGCCTTGAATCAGACTAGCTCAAAACATGGGGCTGGAAACCTTCATGGGGCCCTAATTCATGATTGAAAATGGCTCTTGTTGTGTCCTCGTCGGCACTTCTTGGGATACCCTGACCTCCTTCACTTTGAGGTTGACCAGGATTAGTGAAGAGAAGCAAAACCCAAAAATGGCAAAGCTTTTTGGAATTCAGATCAGCCTGCCATCATGCTCTGCATGAAGCTGCTAAGACGCAAGCTCATGAGAGTCCAGTCTTCAAAGGTGAAGGCAGCGAACAGGGGCCTCAGCAAAAGTCAAGGCTTACCTGGCATCTCAGGCACTGCTACTATTACTATTACTAATACTATGACTATTACTATTACTATTGCTATTACTAGTACTATTACTAGTACTATTACTATTACTCATGTATTACCATTATTGTATATTAGTGTTACTATTAGCATTGTTATGTTGAGACTCTTGCTCCCCACCACCAACATCCATGACATCCTCAACGCCGAAGACATCGAGACTGTCGAAGTCCACCTTCAGATCTTGGGATCAGAGGATCGTCTACAGCAGTTCTCCAAATTTATCCACCTTCATTGTCGAGCCCTTCATAGAGATCGCATTGTGCTATGCTGCTGGTGCTATGCAAAAGCAAAGAGAAGCAAACAGGCAGCTATGCCAAGTCGCCTTGTCGCTCTCGTCCAGCGCAGCCAGCGCCTGGTCAGCCAGTTGCAAAGCGGTCCGGAAAAGGTCGTTCCCTAAGCGGTTGCTTGACTAGTCGTTGAAGTCTTCCTACAGCTGCTCAGCGAGAGACTTGCCGGGCAAGCTCAAAAAAACTTAATCTTGCAATCAACTTGCGTTTTGTACTCCAAGCTGCTCCACCGTAAATCCAGCTCCAATCGCAGTCGGAATGGCTGCAGTATCATCAGTGATTATGGACAGTCCACAGAGTGATAACGGCGGCAACTGCAAAAGCAGCAACACCAACATTCATGGCATCTCCCATATGGAGACGTGCTTCTTGGTGGTTGAATCGAGAAAAACTGATGAAATGGTATTCTGCTTGTAAGATACCACAACAGAATGCAGAATGTAGCCTGCCTCCATATTGAGGACTATACTCAATTAAAAGCTCTGAAGCCCACCTCCAAAGGCAGCTCGGTCCCATCCTTCTCAGCCTGCACCAAGCTCGGTGGAACTTGGTTAAGTGGCAACTGATACTCACAGGAGCTCAGCCGTGGTACGAACAGCAATGAAAGAAGAAGTAGAACATCAAGTATTCAGAAGCAGCTGTTGCTGCTTCTGCTGCTACAACTATACCAATGACAACCTATATACCACTACAACATGACATCCCGGCTACGAGAACCGCTCCCATCATTCCACCGTCCGTCCAGCACCTGCTCCTTGGCAGCCAACTGCGCACTCTTCTTCGCCTTGCGCAGGCGCTGAGACACGGGCTGCCCAATCCGCAGCCACTTAAGATTACTATTACTATTACTGTTACTATTACTATGACACATGTCTTACCATCATTATTGTATATTATTACTATTACTCTTATTATGGCATGGCCCTGCACTAACAGGTCTCCCGTGGAGGGTACTAACTTCTCACGTGACATTAGGGTCAAGGAGCAACTGCGAGATATCGGCCTCCGCAGCCTTGTAGATGTTGTGCTTGGTCTGGTAGGACTGTACCACCTTGCCGTACCGCGCGGCACAACTAGACCCAAAGATCAAAATGCAGGCGGCACAATACCTGTATCATCTGCCACAGAGACGTCACACAAGCGTGATCAGAAAGCATCTTTGGAAAAGTGAGCGCTTGACTGGAAATTCCGTATCAACAAATCCAAGTCCGGAATCCATCCTGATTCACTTAAGAAAGCTACCACAAGCTAGGGCACTTGCCTTCTGCCACTCCTTCCACTTTGTGCTGAACCATTCGCCCGGTTGTAGATCTGGCAGCACCAGGACACTAAGACTGTTGATCAAGCCCAGCTACAAGAGGCGGGCTTATCGCACATCAGCCGGTGAGAAGATACATCTCGGCATGTAAACACTGCAGGAAAAGAAACATTCTTCGATATTCAATGTGGGAACTGTACATCACGGCGTATGCCTACCTGATGCTGTTTACACGCTGTCTTGGATGCGACCCCAGAAACAGCAAACTGCATGTAGATGCGTCTCAAAATGCTGTCAAACTGTGGCATAGCCTGAGACATGGCTTCCCAAAGCAGATGCTCAATCCATGCATAAAACCCCGGCCAAGGTAAGATAAACCTACCACTACTACCAGCAGTTGCTGAATACATATTCAACGAATGATCGAGCGTGATAGGCCTTCGCGGCGTGCGATTTCAGAATCATGTACAGTCTACAACCTACAACATCTTGTTTACGTCAGCATGAGCGCGAAGTAACAACGGAAGAGAAGCTCAGACAAGTTCATAAGCTTCAAAGCTTGTTCGTCATTGTTCTGTTTGCAAGTACCCATCGTACTGATGGGGTTTACACTCGGAGAAATCTTTGGCCTTCTAAGCGGGAGGTGAGCTTCTTCACCTGCATGATTCACTGGGCGGTATCGGAAGAACAGTGCAGGCACTGGAAAAGCTACGGTAGTTGTATGCAGCCAGCAAACGTCAAAACAGTCACAAATTGTGGAGCTGAGCCTGGATCCACTCTTCCAGATGTTGCTTTGCTTTCTTCTCGGGGCTCCAGACATACTGGATGTCCTCGAAGTAAGTCTCCTGGCAACTCTAAGTCCCGGCCCTTCAACTCAATCACTCAGAATGCGTTGTAGCTGCCATTACAAGGGCTGCAAATCAGACATCATCAGGGATCCATTCCCATTCCTAACTAAGCATAAATCGGGCAAGTCTGCGGAACTAAACAGAAAGCTCGGACCTGCTCATCCGGGAGGCTGAACTTCTGGAAGTTGGTGTTCCTGGGTGGAAAAAAGATCATTTTCTCGAAAAAGAAAATCTTATAGACCCCCACTGCTATCTGCGGATTTAGGATGTCTTCTGAGGTGTCTGTATGGTTTACATGGCTGCGTGTTTCCCTTCTCAACTTTAGCCTTTCCGCTTACCGTAAGCACAAACCCTTGCACACGGAGGTGTTGAAGGCAACCCAAGCTGCAGGACGTAGGCGGTGAGGTCGCTGACAGGCAGGCGTCTGAAGGTCAGCTTCTTCCTTGACTGTGTGGGACATGCTATCTCGAAACTTCTGAAATGACGAGAAGAGTAATCCCTGCCTCCTAATTTCTCCCACATGCGGTCTGGGAACTGATATGTTTGGGAGATACGGAGCCTTGACTTTCACCAGGGGGGGCTTTTAGTAATGACACGAATGCAAGACGCCTGCATAGGACTGAGGAAACCAAACTACAATACTCCATGCACTGAAGGATGGTAATCAAGAGGGTCAACAATAATAAGTAGAACAAATAACAAGTGCCACAGCATGGCTTGCAACCAATGCGTCCGTCAAGCAGCTACGCGACTTTCAGACCCCTTGGACTTTCCAGCATTATGATCCTCAAGACTTAGAGACAGTTTGCCAGTTGTCGGTCTTGGGTTGTTTTGCTGGCACGCAGTCCCTGACCTTACAGGATCATGCAGAACCCGAAGCCTAGCGAACAATCTTACAGTCTGGCTGACTATCTACAGCATTACAGGCGACTCCGTTCTTGCAGCACTTGCTTGGTGAGGGGACTATGTACAGGTTCTGTCGAAAATCGGGCCAGGAGTGTGTCGGGGTTCTGCATAGTCGCGACTTTGGGCTTTTGATCCACTGCACTTCTTAAACTTCAAAAAGCTCTGGGATCTGTGGTCCAGACTCCTCGGCTGTGAGCTCCACCGCAGGAATCTCTTCCTTTCGGGTAGCGTTCCAACAGTAGTAGACAGGACATCTGTCAGCTCACTTTTTGATTTGGGTGCAAAGCTCCCCTGCACAGGCTTGGATTCAAAGCAGCAAATTCTGGAATTCGTGCAGAAACATCTTCCAGTCACGGAACTTGATGATGCCAAGCGCCTCAGGTGTTCCTTTCGATTTGGCTCCGGCCAGCTTGGCCTAGGCACGCAAGCAGGCGTCCACACTAGATCGGTTGTGGGTAGGGGCTCCGGATTCAGTTTGTGCTGTTTCATGCGATTACGGAATTGGCCCTGTGAACCCCAGGCCATGAAAGTTTTGACTATCCTATCTCAAATTGGCAGAGGGGCTGGCTTTCGGACAAATAGACATGCATTCTGCAAGAATCCCGAGCTATTAGCTCAACCCTATGTAACCCATATATAATCCCAATATGAACTACCCCAAAATTACCCCAGCCGTATTATCCCAATATTACCCTCTAGTCTGGGCTTGCGGCCTCCTGCTTGGCTTTGAATATTCTCTCCTGGCCAATGACAGGACTAAGTTGCACAATTGCCCAGAGGGAGTGCGCCATCCAGACCAGGCATCTCAAGCACCTTGCCACCACTCACACTGCATGTTGGGGTAATATTGCTGGGGGAATATTGGGGTAGTATTGGGGGTAACTGATATTGGGATTATATTGGGATTATATAGGGTCCAGCGTCCAAACCCTGCATGACTCAGACCTCAGGAGATCGATTATTCCAAACCCCTGCCAAATTTCCTCTTGACTTGCCGAAAAATGTCGGCTTTATAACTAGCACCCCTACATTACGCTCCCAAAGCAAACAGGGATCATTTCCCACAAGTGACAATGGTAGAGGTCTGACAATCGTGAACCTTGAGCTCACTGGTCCTGGCTGTACTCCTTGAAGGCAACAGGGGGTTCCCCAACCACAACGGTAGCGATGCGCTGGTAGCCACCCCATCCTCAGTCTTTTTTGATGTCCAGAAAGGCATGAGAGGCCCGTAGGGCAAGTCATAAAGCAAAAACCCTCAACCCTGGTGTTTTGTTTTGCAAGCAACCACTCTCTACCACGTGAAGGCCTAAGGCCAAGAACTAAACTCGGAACGAACCCATTACCCGAGGGCCCGCACGCAAGGCCAGATCACTCCGATCCTCCTTCAAGAGCCCTGCCTTCACCTGGGGATTTGTTCAAATGGCTTCGCGTTCAAGGTGTAAAGCTTGAAGATATGTGTCAACACAGTTCTTGTCATGTTTGATGTTGTTGCATGTTCCGGCTACTCCTGGTTTCCTTGGTTCTTTGAAGAGTCCGGTCTCATGATCCAGAATATCCTGGAGTTCATTCTCATTGCAAAGTTAATTCACTTCTGACTTCTGACAATCGCATTCTACTTTCTGGTTCTAGCTTCCGTTATGAGCCTGAGTATCCCTCTCGCTGAGGTCAGTCAAACTCTGCGGTGAGGACACTAAACAAGTTACTACAGCATCATGGGCTGAAAGAATGCACAGTACTCGAGCGAAACCTCGCTTCTGACTAGTAGGAGGAGGCATGTTTTCGAATACTTAAATGAAGGTCAGCCCCATTGACACATGCAAGGACTAAATAAACAGTGAGTAGTCAACCCGATGGATAATTTTAGGCCCCAAAATGCCAAATCTCTCCTGCGTCACTGCGATGACAGTAGTCTCCATCACGCGACTAGAGTTACGATCGCACGAAACATCTATATAGCAACTAACACATGACGTATTGTTTCCCGGATACAAAAACAGCCTCGGGACAGCCTGCAAGACGGGAACAGGATTTTGAGACGTCGCTCAAAAGAAAAAGTTCGCGAATGCACCCCAGCCGGGCCTCCATCACGATGAAATGCCGTGGCTGAATCGACACAAGTGCCTGGCTTTACCGGAACTCGAAGAAGATTCCACCACCATCCGTGCACAACAGAATGAAGCACGCTCTGTCTGACGCAGAATGGCAGTTCAGCTGTAATTGTCTTGCTTAGTGAATTCCTTCGCATTGGAGAACCCAAAACCGATCGCATTCCTTGTGCCCTGTGTGGCACGGTGCGGCCGCTCAGATGGGTGATCCATTGGATAAGAGCTCGTAGGATGAGCTGCGCTGACCAACCATGTTCATGTTCAACATATGCAACAACCAACAGTCGTGCATGTCCAACCTGCAGGGTTCGGCGCATGCTTCCATCGTCGAGGGCTGAGACTCCAAAGCCCATCTGAACAAGGCACAAATGCTCGAGGAAAACACAAGGGGACTGGACCTTGCTAAACATGACATGAAGATGACAATGACAACACAACAAGAAAGCTTAATGTGCAGTGTTCGAACCTTGCTACCATCATGATACACATTTTATGGACGGTAGCCTATGCAAGGAACATCTACCCAAGTGTCCACCAAGAGTTTGGAACAGAGAAGGATCAACAGCGCGCCTCTGGCTTGTCATTGGACGCACGTGAAGTTGCCTTGGATTCTCCAAAGGCAACCACGGTACCCAACTGAGCAGGAGAAGGCAAGCCTTGACCCAGGAATTGCAACAAAAACTCCAGCCCTTAGGTACACTGCGGCTGTTGAGGCCGGAAAGACACAGGAGGATGTCTTTCCAAGAGTACCTTTGCAGCCTGGGTGCGGCATAGCCCTTGGGCCGGCTAAGGCCACTCTGCTCGCACCAGGACAGCATTGCCCGGTCGCTGAGCTCGGTATAGCCCCTCAACACAGGACCACATACTGCATGGCTTTCATAGCAACGTCATAAACACAAATCCAACACCGAAGCAGCATCAGTGCAGTGCCATCGTATTTGCTGTTGTCTGAAGTATCCTGGGTCTCCCCGCGGGTGGCTCTCTAAGAAATGGTCAAGCCAGTCAAAGCCGCCCTCGTCCGGCACTGCGATGGGAAAGATAACCTGCTCGGATTCTAAGGCAAAGAACGAAACCGCCTTGTGCTAACTATAAGGGGTTATAAAGGGATATATAGGGTTATGTCAGTTGTGTATCGGGTATAATGGAAAAGAAACTGGAAACTACTACAGTATACTGGGGTTATATTATAGTCACCCAAGACGGTTTTGCGCGGCGGTCACCCATTCGTTTGCTGGTGCCCGAGCTGGTCCCTCTTCCCCGAAAGCCTCGTACTGGCCATCCGTAGGTTTCACGGCTGCTTTGATGCTGACGTCCTTCTGTGACGCGTCCTTGCCAGCTGTGAAGCGGAGGGTCTGCCCTTCTTGCGAGAAACTCTCTGGCACCTTCAGGAAGCGGCACTTGAAGGGCAGGGGCATCAACGAGGCGCCAAAGTTGTAGTGCAAAGCCATGTTCCTATCAAGGACAGGATCACCAGCACATTGGGAAGCAACAGCAGCTGAGAGGTTCAGTCTTGGCCATGAGGATTTACTGATCCGGATTTTTGTCCAAGATGACATGAATAAGCAAATAGCCGATGAGACAGTTGGGCTTCTGGTATGCTTGGAGATGGGATAAATCTTCTAGGAAATTTGAACAGTTGGGATCGGAATGGCACGCACAAGGTAAGGCCTGAAGCTCACACCAGGATAAAGCACCTGCCACACAAATGCAGTTGGAGGTCATCATGCCCTCACCAGCATCAAGTTTTGACAGAAATTCCTGACCGTGTCACCTTAGGCACATTCCGGCAAGCTTTTCCTTGAAGAAAGATCTGTCTGACATGATCTGTAGTCTAAACTCCTTAAAGGGAGTTATACAGGGGACTCCATAGGTGAGTATGATAAACGCTATACAAGGGATACCAGGAATTTAGACAATGGCTCACATGACCCAGTCCGCTCTTCAGCTGCCTATGCTTTCAAAGGAGAGCGTCGGGGCCTTTCCCTGCAGATGCTCGGGGATCTGCTGCGGCGGTGCCACCCTCTGTCCATCCTGACAAGTGATATAGAAGGTGGACTCAACTACACAACGAAAATTTTGCTACAGTTCTATTATCATTCTTGCTACTACTATTGCTATTATTACTGCTATTAGTATAACTTTGTTACAATCACTATTATTCCTGTTATTATTACTTGGAGGCCGATGGGACTTGGTCATCACTTATAACTGGGATTTTTACCCTACTTATAATTGGGATAATTCCTAGAAGCCTATTTAGGGGGATTATAAGTAGGGTGGTCAGTTATAGGTAATTACTAAGTCCCATGGGCCTCCAAGTACTATTAGGACCTTTGGGCAAGGAGCCAAAATCTGCTGTCGCCCCTGCCTTGAAGACGCTCAGCGTGTTGCCGAACTTGCCTCGAGCTCAGGTGGCATTGACCGCAATTCGAAAAGAGAGGGGGGAGTGGACCCCTATATAATCTACATATATATATACATCCTATAAAACCCCTACATATCCTCCATAATAATCCTGTTATGATCCCCACATAGCCCCTACAACAATCCCGTTTATAATCCCTATCATAATCCCTAATACTCCCCATATGTACCTCTATAGTTGACAGCCGGCACCACCCAAAAAGCAGAGAAGCAAGCCAGTGTCAAAAAATGTGCTCTTGCAGCCTGTATTGGGGTAATATATGTGTATGTATATATATATATTGGAGTAGGATACATTGGGGGAATACGTACTCGAGAATATCATAATGGAAAAGAACATGGGAACTGCTTTCGTGGGTTACATATTGTAAACAATGCGGGGGAGCTTGCTTGGCAACGTGCATGCAGGCCTGCTATTGAAAAAAGGCTGGCCAATGGGTGGAAAAGACATTGTGTTGGCAACCTTCTCCTGTGACTCCATCAGCGGTGAAAACATCCATGTGCAACTTAAATCCTGTTTCAAGAAAGGGCCTTGCGAATGGCATGACACCCTCTCCCCATGTTCTCCAGCTAGCACATGGCTGAGACCTTGTCTGCAGCACCCTATGCAACGACGTTTTAACCCTGAACCTCTCAATACATGGGCTTTCACAGATGCCCTCAAGAACCCCAGATGTTTTGGTGACTGTGAGGGTCTTTTGAAAAGCACAAGCAAGGACTACAGTAACAAAATCGCACATCAACCCACACCAAAACGGAATGAAACCAAGCTCTGAACCCCTCTTCAACCCATTAGCCTGCAACCGCAAACCTGAACACTCCAGGTGCCCCTGCTGTTGGGATCCAGGTTAGCCACCAGAGTCACCACATCTCCAGTGGTAAACTTGGAAGAGCACACTGGGCTGGCCTTCCTCCAAATGACATCCGGGGATTTTAGGCTTCTGGGCTGGGTTGAGGCATCTCTGCTTAGGTTGTAGCATGCTATCCTTCCTGCCACACATATGCCACACAAGCTTCTGCGATTGATGTGCGGCATGCGGTGTCGGCATTTCATCCGCCTTGGGGGGCTTCTGAAGTTGGATGAACCCTTTGTCGGCTTGAAGACCCGAAGGTTGCTGAGCTGACATGATGAACAGTGACCCCCTTCAAGATTTCGATGTGTCTCAACATTTGGCCCCACTGCTTGTGCCCGAAAACTGAAAACCCTGAACACAGAGACTAGTTTCGCTTCTGAGATGCATCCATTTCCAGCTTTAACTTTACATCGGAAGTGCCAGAAAGAGCAGTGCCGAATGTGTTCAAGATCACGCTGTGAAACGTCCAAGCGAACATGCTGCTCCAACGTGATAGCATGGTACTCGCGTCGAACTTCCAAGCTGTGCCAGAAAGGAACGAATTTGGTAAAATGGACACAAGATTGAACATCTACCATGAGTCCGGTCCATCTTTGAGTATAAACAACTACAGCTTGTCTCCTTCGGTCTCGAAAGAAGCCCTCGGAGTCGAAGCAGACGGAGTCCTGCCATTGAGACAACAACATACAAGAACTAGGTTGACAGAATCATTGCACAGCCGAGCTGTCACAGAGAAATAACAAGTGGAAATGTGCAAAGGCTTAGTGCAAAGCAACGCATCCTAAAAATCTCAGCGGCAAGCCCCTGCGGGCCTCTGTCTCGCCGAGGATTAAGGACGACTTTGCAGTGGACAGACCGATCCGCAGAACGCTTCGAGCCCCCATCATCCTGCTAACGGGGCTGGGTTCACGCTATCGCTAACAAATTCTGCCATTTGCTTGAACTCTTGGCCGATAACGTTGTCACGTTTTCTTTCATCTATGCTTTGCCCCCCCACAGAGACGTGACAGGCAAGCCGGGCCTGGATCGCGCAGTGGGATCCTCATGGAAGGTGCTCTTTTCGAGGATCTTCACCTGGATTGATTTTGGCTGCAGAGGACTGAGCCTAAAGCCGAGCACATTTCTGCAACCAGCTATGCCTATTGCCACGAGAGATGGAAAAATATGGCCTCGAACATGTAGCGACCAGTCTTAAGCCCGATGTTGCACCGTGCTCCTGCCATGAGATACCTCAGGTCACCAAAGCGGTCCATATCTTGCAGCATAGAATGGTATTCCTGCAAGCTTGAAATTGTGGCACGATAGCACCATACACTTCACTCATGTTCACATCCTCAAGAGCAAGCACTCTCGCATAAACTTACTTAGAACCGCACAGAAGGCAAGGGAAAAATCACAGTCTGCCTGCACTAAGCCCCGCACTGCAAACCTCCTTCTGCTAGCGCAGTGAGCATGTTCCCTGAGGTGGAAGGTACAACATTGAGGGTGGTGTCCTCCACATGGAAGGTGGGCGATTCCTGCCAGCAAGAACAAAACCAGTAAGGCCAACGAACTCAAAGCTACCAATCCGATGTTAGATTGAAGGTGATATACACATTGTGGCCTCTTCTTGAGGGTTCCTGTTAATAAGCGGTGTAACAATTGGGTCTTGAATGGAGAGGACCGCATTTGAAAAAGATCCCTTCTCGAAACCTTCCCTTACAATTTGCATGGCCTTGATCCGAGGTGCTTTATCCAGAGGCGCATCTACTTCCTCATCCTGTCAAGGCAGGCTGGCTAAGGCCAATGCAAACACAATTCTGCCAAACGAAGAAAAAGCCCTCACTTTGAAGGCTGTTGTGCCTCGGTCTTTGCTTTCTTTGCTGGTGGCTCCTCCATGGCGCCTACTGCACCCTTCTTGGCAGCCTGTGAAAAACGAACTAGCAGACTGTCACTTTGATACTGGGTTACACGGATGTGTTGTTGAGCTTCACAAGAACAAGTCATGCAATTGATTTGCCAAGCACGTGCAACCTGGCCCGATTCACTTAATATGTCAATGCTGCTTGACGCAAAGCTTTTCTTGCCAATGCTGAACCAGGATGTTGCAGAAGAAGACCAAGATCACAAGGTAGGTTGTCCACAGCGCATGAACCTCGGGCTGAATGTCAAGTTGAACTGCCATCTGCAAAAGGAACCGCCTTCAGCAATACCATTTTTTAAATTTTAAATGGAAAATGAGCCATGCAGCCAGGTGGAACCGGACAAAAATGCCAGAACTTTTGCTCTACCACTGACGCGCATCTCCATGAACAAATGAAATAACTGATGACCCAGATCACCAACGCAAGCATTTGTCCTTTTCATTTTTTGTTACAAATGCATCTACTAAAAAAAATCTGCCAAGAGACCCGAGTACTGCTTATGCCTTGCCCAAATCAAAACAAACAGTTGCCCTTCCTGATTTGCCGCCCTTCCTGATTTGCCTGAAGGTGCCTGAGAAAGAATTTCCCACCTCGGTGCAACCTGCAATGCCGCACAATACATGAACAGCCTTTTGATCGTAATGACACTTCGCGGGTCACGATTGCTTTTGAAACCTGGCGAACCCCGTGCAGCAAAGCTACTCTTGCATAAGGTAACATCTTAAACCCAAGCAAGGAAAATACCCTTTTGCATGGGAAAGCTGATCCCGCACGAATAATATTTTTGCGCTACAAGGCATCCTTCCAGGATTCCCATTGGGCATATCTTGGAAACCGCAACTCATCACCACCCTTGTGCATATGTGGCAGGCATGGACAAACGACGGCAAGGGGATCCCGGCAGAAGGAACTACTGCAATACATGAAAAGTCTTCATAGCAGAGGTGCCCTTGGAAAATGGTTGCAACACCAACTAAGGGTGTAGCTTGGTATGTCAAGGACATTAATGGGTGGCCAAAATCCAGCACGGCTTCAATGCAGGGGCAGCCTTCCTGGAGTGCTGTTAGCACTGCTACAGCGGTTCAAGCCACAGATATTTCACCATCTTGCGTCCTGGTTTGGGGGTGGGAGCAATAGCCATCCTAACATTTACTCCCTGCAGCAGCTGTTGTTACTGAGAATCCGGGCATTTTCGCGTATGATTTTTTGATGTTGTGTACATTATTACCAGAAAATTCCAAAGGCGGCGGAAGTTATTTTTGCAAAGATGTAATTCGTATTTTTGGCAAAAGTGTGGCTCACTCGTTTTTGGTCTTGGAACGTCTCGGCCTTTCAACGTTTCACACACTGGAAATTACATTTTTGCTGGCAAAGGAGCATTGAAATGCTGTATATTACAACATTTGCTGGTCTTGGAGCGCTTCCAATATTGTAAATTCCCTATATCTGCTGGTCTTGGAATGCTTCAAATGCTGTAAATGACAGCGTTTGCTGGTCTTGGAAAACCTCACGCGCTGGAATTTACTGGTTCTCTGGGAGAGGAGTGGGCTGTTGGAATTGGGGGTACAGATAAAGTTTAAATGCAAGCATGGTGCTTGTTGGTTGATATGGAAAAATGGAACTGAAAAGGAATCACAACATTCTTGACGATTTGACAAGAGCTATTCTGAAAATGCATTCCCCATTACACGGGGAACGTGGTTTAAAATATATTCTGGAAATATCAGGCGCCAAAGACATAATCCACACAACCTTCCCCTACTGCAAACTTGAAACTTGGAGATGGCATGTTTTTTGTTTTTAATGTAGGCCGGCTTTAAAAAGGGGTGTTGGGGGGCAGGCAGCCCCATCCAGTGGCAAACAAAATGATCCGCATAACCTTCCCTTACTGCGCAAACATGGTGATGGCATGAGGCTTCTTTTTTGCTGGAACATGGATGGCTTCAATACAGCGAGGGGGTTGGGGGGGCGCAGATCCCCCATTTGAAAAAAAAATGATCCGCACAACTCTCCCTTACCGCAATCATGGTGATGACATGATGCTTGTTTATTGTAAGCATGGACGGCTTCAAAAGAAGTGGGGGGTTGGGGGTTGGGGAGGTTGGGGGGGTCGGGGCAGACACCCCCCCATTTGCAAGCGAAATCATCCGCACAACCTTCCCCTACATGGTGATGGCATGATGCTTCCATGTAATTGCAAGCATGGATGACCCAAAAAGCTCCGAGGGTCCAAGATCGACGACGAACACCAGGATCGCGAACTCGACCCCAACGATCCTTGTGACCGCTGACAACTTTCAAAACCGAAGGGGATCCCAACATTTAAAAGCAACCATGACGGGTGTGGCGTTTAGGCCTACAGTTTCCTGGATTAATACGGAATTGGTTGAGGGACTATACTTAAGGATCAAATGATAAGCTTGACAAGATGAATCCCGCCGCCGATCTTTGGCAGCAGAGAAGCTGCTACCCCAAACCGACTCACAAATACTGCCATTTCATTTCATTCATTCATCACGCAGCAATCCGCGTTGCCTAACCGAGCTGTTGTGAGACATGGGCGATCTGTTGACGATCGGCACCTCTATGGGCGCTACTCCCCTAAGCCTGTCACCGGCTACAACTTTAGGTATACTAGCATCAAAGCATGAAATCTACAGGCCCCGTAGTAGAACAAATATAAGACTACGAAAGAGCAGAGTTTATGCTATATCATGGCGAGACTTGTTCTTTGTACATCTGCTGTCTACGGATTGTGTCTCCATACAGTATGGAGTGTGCTGCCTGAGCGAGCCGCACCTTCAAGGTCGGCGTATGACACGGTTTGGAGCTGCTGTGACTGCACGTGATTAAGCTGGATGATGCACCTGCCTCTGGCCTACTTAAGTTGGCATCTGACACTAAGAACCTGCCGTCGCGCAGCTTGAACCAAAATATGCAGGCTTGGGCTTGATCACTGCTTGTCACCCTGACAACCTTTTCCGCTTCCACCATGTCATCCGTTCGCCATAGCTCTTGGCCCTCGGTGAGTAGGCAGTGATAATGTCCTGGTGTAGGTTCGCTAATGAAATGTCACTGCCACAATCCTACACCTAAGCCAGCTTACTTCTAAGGTGTTGGACGCTGCAAAGCAAGGCATGAGGACTGTCTCCTCCCACTTCACCTGCCCCCTGCAGCCTGTTGGAATCTCATCAACTGCAAGCAAACTACTGGCGTACGTGTTGCTAAAGCGCGCAAGGTCGCCTGCGAATGCTGTTGTCGTTTGCAAGCATTCATGCTTGGCTGCCTCGCGTCAAGAACTATCGTGATTGGAGCGCTGGTAGAAGGCTTATCCCTGGCTCTCACGGCACCCTCAGCTAGGAGCCTGGCCTCCCAAAACCCTGCTGGCTGCCCCCATTGAAGCCTCCGTAACAAATGCGCCGTGTTGAGCGTCTGGATTCACCCACTCTTGCAACACACACGACCATTGTAAGACTTGAGCAAGGGCTAGCACAGGGCGCTGGGTTAGGGAGATGTATATGGCTGGGGGGAGGTTGGGATTAATGGGAGGTTAAGCATCTCTTGACTGGCATGAAGCGCCAGCTGGTTCATGTAGCAGAGGTCGGCAAGACTCGCTAGGCGATCTGAAGAATAGGCTGCAAGACTTCAGGAACTTCAGGAACTGCAGTCTCGCTCTGCCACTTGCTTCTGCTAGACTGCCTTCTGCAAGTCGAGCTCTAGGCCACTCCGACCCGCCCTCTCCTGGTGTAGTCTTGCGCCCAACAGCTGCAGCGCTTGCAGTCCCACCCAGGTCTGGAGTGTCTCCCACACCTTGGAGCCTCCTCCCCTGAGCGACACTTCCAGCACCAAACTTGACCCAAGGCGTGTCCGGTGCTTCCATCAGCTTGCGAGTTGAAGCAAACCTGTGAACACAGTTCGACATCTGTCGCTGGATGACCTGGATGTCTGCCACAATGACTTCCATGCTTAGGGGCGTCATGTCCGGCAGCGGCAAGATCTTCTCCTCCTCCGTCGACCAGCGCCTGTAGATCCAAAGGCCTTCCGAGTTGCGCCACCCTTGGCCCTTTGCAAACTTGCCAAACTTTTCCACTCCAACCGAAGCGCCTTCCGGTTATTTCTACTGTTTGGGAAAATTCTCACATGTCCATGCACATGAAATCATCATGAAATCACAATGGGGCATGAGGAAAACTATACAATTTGCACCCCTCCTCAGGCTTCAATACCTTGCGGAAGACTGTCGACAAAAGTCATGTAGCTGCTGCGCTACACTGTTCGAACAACCTTGCACACACTCCATGTGTCAAGGACACTCGAATTTTGCCCTTGTAGGGGGAAATAAAACATGTTTCAGGTCAGCACATCCCAGGTTACAGCGGTGGTCACCGAACGCGTCCACATTGATCCGCCTACTGACGTGTTTTCCTCCTTCGGATCACTGGAGGGCTTGAACCTGGAAGCACATTGGGCCTGCACTGCCCACATGGAGCTAGATGAAGCCTTTGACGCCTGCCCGTGCCCAGGGCAGAATCCCAAGTCTGGAAACGCCA